TGGAAGCAATACAAAGAGCTGAAGAAAGGAATGACTATAACCAAGGAGTTGAAGAAAGAAATTCAATGACAGTATAACTGAGGAAAAATACAGCTATATCAAGAATGTAAAGAGAAATAAAAATGGCAGGATTCAATACACATCTTTCATTAATAACTTTAAATATTAATGGACTGAACTCCCAAGTCAAAAGACACAGACAAGGTGAATAGATTAAGAAACAAAAACCATCTTTTTGTTGTCTGCAAGAAACTCATCTCACTTTCAAGGACAGGCACTATCTTAAGGTGAAAGGATAGAAAAAAATATACCAAGCGAATGGTACTAAGAAAAAAGCAGGCGTAACAATTCTAATATCTGACAAAATAGACTTTAAAGCTAATCAGAAGAGATAAAGAGGGCTACTTCATTCTGATCAAAGAAACAAAACCAAAAAGTTATTGCAATCATGAACATAATATTCACCAAACTCTGGTGTACTCAACTTCATAAAAACAATACTACAGTACTTTAAGACCCAGATTAATCCCAACTTATTAAACAGTAGGGGACTTCAATACCCCACTGTCTCCATTAGATAGGTCAACAGGGCAGAGAGGTAACAGAGAGACGTCTGAATTAGACAATACCATGTATCAAATGGACCTAAAAGACATCTACCAAGTATTCCACCCAAGCACCAAAGGACATACTTTCTACTCAGCACCCCATGGAACCTTCACCAAAATCGACCATATACTGGGGAACAAAACAAACCTCAACAAATACAAAAAGATTGAAATAATTCCATGCATTTTATCAGACCACAATGCAATAAAGCTTAAAATCAAAAGTGGAAGAAGCCCTAGCAACCACAAGAACACACGGAGATTAAACAACACACTCTGAAATGATGAATGGGTCAAAAGAAAAATTAAGAAATAAAAGTATTCCTGAAACTAAATGAAAAGGACAATACAATACAAGAAAACCTCTGAGACATGCTGAAAACTATCCTTAGAGGGAAGTTTATAGCTCTAAGTGCCTACATCAAAAAATCAGAAAGAACACAAATAAATGACTTAACATTGCAACAAAACACACTTGAAAAGCAACAACAAATGAAACCCAGCAGACAAGAAGAAATAACAAAAATCAGGGCAGAAATTAATGAAATCGAAACAAAGAAAACAATACAAAGAATCAATGAATCTAAGAGCTAGTTCTTTGAAAAGATAAGATTGACAGACCTCTATCCCGATTAAACAAAAGAAAGAGTTACTTCCAAATCAACAAAATCAGAGATGAAAGGGGAAACATCACAAAACACACCAGAAAGATACAGAACACTATTTATAAGGGAATGCTTTAAAAACCTATATGCTATTAATCTGAAAACCTAAAATCGATGGTCAGATCTCTAAAGGCATGGGAACCACCAAAACCAAACCGAGAAGAGATTAACAGCTTAAACAGACCCATAACACAAAAAGAAATTGAAACAGTAATACAAAACCTCCAGACTAAAAAAAAGCCCAGGACTAGATGGATTTACAGCAGAATTCTATCAGACATTTAAAGAAGATCTACCTCCAATACTACTTAATTTATTGAAAAAGATAGAAATGGAGGGAGAACTTCCAAATTCCTTCTGTGAAGCCAGCATCACTCTAATCTTAATGAACATAGATGCTAAAATTCTCAACAAGATACTTGCAAACCGCATACAGACACTCATCAAAAAAATCATCCACCATGATCAAGTCCCCTTTATCCCAGAGATGCAGGGATGGTTCAATATATGTAAGCAAATAAATGTCATAAATCAAAGACAAGAACTGCATAGTCATCTCGATAGATGCAGAGAAATCCTTTGACAAAATTCAACATGCATTTATGTTCAGTCCTAGAGGGAACTGGACTGGAGGAAACATACCTCAACATAATTAAAGCCTTATATAATAAACCCACACCCAACATCATTCTAAATAGAGAAAAGCTGTAAGCATTCCCATTGAAATCAGGAACCAGACAAGGCTGTCCACTATCTCCACTCCTTTTAAGCAAGAGCAATAAAACAAGAGCAGGAAATTAAAGGAGTAATAATTGGAA